AAATATTCGATAGACGCTTTCCCCTGAGATGTTTTTAGAGAGAATTTTTATAATCTGTAGGAAGATTTATGTGCAATCCCTTGCTAGAAGCTATAAAGAACAAAAACGCTTTAAATATCAACATAGTTTTTTGCTTCAGATTAAGTACGTAAAAGAATGTAGAGGCGTAAGATGATTTTGATATTACCGGCTTTTTAATATTTTATGTAATGGAACAACTAATTTATATTATTAGTGATGTCAAAAAATGGATGTTACTTCTACCTCTACACATTCTGCTGTGAGTATACACCAGTTCTTCAATACTGGCAAAATAGAGAATTGCGATGTAGTTATTATTATAGCTCCAATGTGGACTACGAAATTCATAAAAGAAATAAGGCACTGATCAATATGATCCAACCAAAAAACCGGGTCCACATTAAATATATTTCATGTATAGAATTAATTATATAAAAGTAATTCACTCTCACAAATAGATATGTATTTGTATTTTAAGATATGTTTCGTTATAAGTGTTTCTAATTCTTTCAATAAAATATTATCATTTACTTCAAAAGCACTAAGAAAAATAATTTGTATATATTATACTAGAAGATACGGTTTTTCCTATTTATCACAGTACCTTTTACAAAAATGTATTACATTATAAAAAAGTTTTAAAAAATGTTATGTATGATGCGGTTTTGAAGTATATGATGATTGTAAACAAACTTGCATAAATATAATTTAGACTTTGAATAGTAATTGAGCACAGTGTATAATCGTATCTAATTTTTTAGACGCCGATCTTGGTAGAGATAAAAAATTAGTATAACTATGTATATACAACTTGTAACAAACAGTGTACAATTTGTTTCCAAATTGTGACGAGCGTGTTTTAAGAAACTTTGCACATTAAGTTCCACTGTCAATTAAATTTTGTTCAATAATAAGAAAACCTCTACTGCCTTACCTACTTGCGAAAATTAAGTAGGGAGCCTTTCCGCGAGTGTGGTAGGATGGTAGATCGTTGACTTTGTCAGTATGAGACTTAGATACCAGTAGTAGGCGTTTGACTGTCCCCTTATTATTGAAATTGTCCAGGTTTATCTCATTCCTGAACTGAATTTACAGTTGTAAGTCATTCCTCGCCGCAAATGCGGCCTACCTAATAATAATAATATGTTGTCTCATCTCTCGCATACATCTTCAGCTTCTTGTGATTGGAACGAGGGGTAGAATTCATTATTATTTTTAATATTTAATATAATGTTCCTGAATTGAAGAAAAATGTGTTTATTAATTAGTATAAAATGAACACTACAAATATGTAACATTAAAGCTGTTTATTAAAACCCTTTATACTTTAAAATTTCAAATTACGATTGAACTTATCAATTATAGTTGAAACGAACACAAAACATATGAGCTTGTTTCCTGGAATTTCATTCATAGAATTCAATGAAGGTTATAAATAAACGAGTAGGTACTGAAAAGTAAATTGACCTAAAGTTCTACGTCTCCCCTATTAATCTAGACTCCTACACATTAAAAATTTAGGTATCTAAGCTGTCACTTTTTGTCACAAAAGTGATTCATATTAGCGTCACGATATTCATTCCAATTCCAAATTTAGCCAGCGAAACGAGAAATCTAATATCAGTTCTATATTATTTAAAGTTGTGTTATCGCTAGAAATTTCCTCTCTTTTACCAGCAAAGTGTTTACGTTTTTTTAACTTCCGCTATTCGTCAGAATGAACGTAATACATTTGCATTCTCGCCCGAGAAAAACTGCTGAAACGCTATTATGCAAATGCTGTTTTTAAACTACTTTTTTACGTCTTATAACACGAGAAGTAAGTTAGATGCTTCCTTTTGTAACAAAACATACAAAGCAATTTCGATCTTATATCTAGACATGACAAATTTTTCCCATCTACTACCTTTTTTAAATATTCAATTGAGAATGGATAAAGTATGTCAGAATAAGTTTCGAGTACCATAAAACTAAGTGAGGATCAATTTCAACTATGCACAATTGCACATACTTTAATTTAAAATATTTTTTTCGTCATAATTTGTATAATTGCAGAGTTATGTAGGTAAATATTTTTTTATTTTACTTTATCATAAAAAATCTATTAACTCACAGAAACCAAAACAACTTTCAGTTGATGTATCATTTGACCCTGCTTCCCATTTAATTTTTTTGGGGTAAGGGTGGAACATTTGTTGTGAAAATGCGTACTCGCAAATTGAAAATTGATCTATCTCGACCATTTCTTAAAATATGACTGAACAGTGTACTCCATTTGAAACTTGTGGTTTTCATATATGTAAATGCAGTCACGCTTTTTTTAGAAAAATCTTCAGTTTAAAACACAATTTACTGTTTTTTAGTTTTAGAGTTGTTGAGAAGAAATAAATATGTTTATATTTTCTATAACCTCTAGATGGGATATATTTTTTTTAAATATTGGCACTTCATATATATTTTATCTCTTGGAATTCAGTGGCGTACTTAATTTTGTAATAATTTTAAGATTTTCAGCCTATTAATTATATATTTTTTAAATGCCATAATTGCACATTGTTTTTTTCGGAATTAGAAAAAATCGTACTGGAACTTTCCGTGACAGAAAACTAATGCACTACTAAACTGGCAACGTTATTGTATAGCTGACTGAAAGAATTGTTTTAGATTGCGTATGTTAGTAAATTCTATTTTTTAAGTCGCTCCATACAAAAAAAAAAATCAAAATGAAAGAAAGAAAGATTTGGAGTGACTTTTAAATACCTTATTGCGAATTAATTTTGATGGCTTCCACCGACTATTTAAAACAGTTTTTCTTCATAGTCATACAGGGTGTTCAGTTATTAATAGTCCAAAGATTACTAGCTGATGCTTCTGTGAATATTAGGGTAGATCAAATAAAATTTTGTTTTAAAATGCTCCTGAAACACAGAATGTTTGTTGAAAATATTATAATTATTTTCAGGCATATGGCATACGAGGTGTGACAATTAAGTAACGAGACTGATTTTATTGCCGCGCTTGTGGTAAACCTGCGACCTTGAAACTCCCTTTCCCCTTCCCCGGCATCCTTCCCTTTCCCTTGATATGTCGCTCTAGCTTGTTTGGTTCGCCTGCTGTGTCGTGTTTAGTAGACGTGTGTTGGTGGTGCTCGTCACGAAAATGGAGAAGCAAAATCTAGAACAACGCGTCGCAATAAAATTTTGCGCCAGATTGGGCGAAACAGCTTCGGAAAAGTACGCTAAAATCGTAAAAGTGCATGGTGATAGTGCTCTGGATGGAGCGGGAGACCAGTCGAGGTGCGGACTGACCCGAATGTGCAGCGAGTGTGCGTCCGAATCCGTGAAGATCGGCGTTTAACAGTTCGAATGTTGGCCTCGGAACTGGGTATGAACCGTGAAACAGTCAGACAAATTTTAACCGACGATTTAGGGATGAAAAAGTTGTGTGCGAAGATGGTTCCAAAGAACCTTTCTGAGGAGCAAAAGTGGCATCGAATGCCGTCGCAGAAGACTGTTTGGAGCAAGTGGAAAACGATTCCACGCTGCTTGATCGAGTTATTACAGGCGATGTGAGCTGATTTTTCCAATACGACCCGGAAACCAAACACCAAAGCTCACAATGGTTGTCTCCGCACTCCCCTCGTCCGAAAAAAGCTCGCATGAGCAAGTCGAAGGTGAAAACGATGATCATTACCTTTTTTGATAGCCGTGGAAGCGTCCACAAAGAATTTGTTGCACCGGGGCAAACCGTAAATCAAGTCTACTATCGCGAAATACTCGAAAGATTGCGAAAACGAGTCAACAGGGTGCGCCCAGACTTCGCAAACAACTGGATCCTTCATCACGACAACGTGCCGTGCCACACCGCCCTCAGCGTGTCCCAGTATTTGGCCTCTAAAGGGATCACCGTGTTGCAACAGCCGCCTTATTCGCCCGATATGTCACCCTGTGACTTTTTTCTGTTCCCTAGAGCAAAATCGGTGGTCAAAGGAACCCATTTTGAGTCGGTTACGGACATCCAAGAGACCATGACGAGGGTACTCGCGGACATCCCAGTCGAAGCGTTCCAGAAATGTTACGAAGCGTGGAAAACGCGCTGGAATCGTTGTATCGCCCAAGGAGACTACTTTGAAGGGGATGGCAGAGTTGTAGAATAATTTTTAAATATACGGTTTTTATGGGATCAGTCTCATTACTTAATTGTCAAACCTCGTATGTATAGACATGGAGAATACTAACGGAGACCTTCATCAAGTACAATTTCACGAACATACCAAGACCTACACCATACTACATTCTTGAAATGTACGTGAAGTGTTCGTATTATTAGTGCATTTCATATCAGAATACAAAATAATTTTATAGCGGATTTCCGAGATATGCTTGACAATTGTTCTAATTTTTTTTAACTTTAACTGCCTGTACCTGGCGGAGGAAAATTTTTTCGATAAAATGTTATTTGAACTACCTCCCTTGATTTCATTATAATATATGTTGGTGACGTTTGTCCTATTGAATTGAATACCCTGTATATGGCACCTATGTTTAGTAGTGCATTACTTTTACTACTTAACTATTTTCAATATTCCGTCTCAACTTTTTTAAACGCAAAAAGATAGACTTGAAGTTTTTTATATAATTGTGACAAATATTGACACTTCTAGAAGCCCTTTTGAAGCCATTACCAATTATGGTTTTCATGTAAAAAATTCGACTTTGTTTTCTTAGTCGAAAATTGTTACAGCTATTAAAAAATTAGGTACCCCTCAAGATTCTAGGCAACAAAATATATAAAGCAACATTTCAGAAAAAAATTCAACAGTAACCACTGCAGATATCAAGGGAAGTATCAAAATATTCGCGTTAAGGCTTAGTCAAGATCTAAAAAATATATCGAAGACCAGTTTTGATTTGACTACTCAAATCCAATTTTATCTTTAATAGTAAAAATATTAAATTATTAAGATACTCTAGCGTCATATTAAAAATCAAATGCCCTATACCCTTATATATCAGTATAGATCAAGTTTTCGCTGGAACATAATGCAAATGTAAAATGTCATATATATTTAAATTGGCGGTGGAAACATACTGTGCTAAAGCTTGTAACCAAGACCCGGCTCATAAATAATTAGTAATTAATTGAACTAACCTAAACTTAAAATACCATTACTCTTCCGGCCAACTGAGATCTTCTCCGACGAGTTCATAGAACTTCTGATTATGTTCGCTGAAGTACCTCCTCAGCTTGGAAACCACTTCGGGATCCACTCTCGGATGTTTCCTTCCTTTAGTTTCTCGCAAACATCTATCAAAGGTCTCGTTTCTCAAGCAATAGAATCCTTTAGTTTCATTAAAATAAAAGTTGTGCGTGCCTATCCTGGGCTCTAGACCCAAGAACCGTTCGATTTTTTGCAACTGTGAGACTGGATCTTCAATAAGAAGATCACCGTTGACTATGAGCATCTGCTCTCTGGGGAACACCTCGAGCCACCTGTGCAGATAGTTGTGATATAAGGATATAGCCAGAGGTCTGTAAGCTTCATTGATGGAGCCGTTTGGGAACAGGGCGAGTTGTTCGAAAGATTTAGGTGGTGGCGTGGGTAGGGCCGGCGACGCCGTGGCTGCGTTGGCTCTCAACTGAGTGAAATCCGATATCGCCCTTGTTACCGGCTCCCGCACTATTAACAAAAGTTTTGCGCTAGCATTCATGGCACGGATCCTTTCGGGCACCTAAAAAACATATTTATCTTTTAAGGATGGTAATATTTTCACCTGAAGCAATTTTTAAACGCTTTTGTCGAACCGAGAATATTAGACAATGAGGGTTGCTTTCGCTGTACAGCAAGAATAAAACACTCTCTCAACGGTAATAATAAAGAATTTTATTGAAAACTAATGTATAGAAAACTTGTATGGAAAAAACGTGTTGACGTGTGAGTTTTCGTTGGAGAGTGCCCTCTGTGTGGAGTCGGTCGTAGGTATATTGATAGTTGCTGGTAGAAGTCCCTGCTCCTTGGTGCCACTCTGCAGGGGTCGTCTTCCGGGAACCCCGTGGTGCGTCCGGCGGCGTTCTTGAGGTTGTGCTTAAAAATGGGTCACTTGCAAACATGTGTACCCACAACAAGTACAAGAAGTCATTTTGAATATCAATTATTAATTTTAACTAAGCACGTAACAAATGATTTGGTTTTATTTTTTTATCTAAGACTCGATAAGTTAACAGTAGTAAGATATTAAATACAATTAAAACCATTCAGAATTTTGCATCATCGCAGTTTAGTTCAAGAACGAATTTTCATAATACTCAATGGTATTATTACCGAAAAAGTTTTCCAGTGTCTCCGCCATTGGCTAACAGATTTATGTACCAATCCAACAACTGTTTGCTTTGAGTTTAAGTTAAATCACTAATTTTCAGCTATATTTGTATAAAACCTTCAGTTTATTTGAATGAATAATTGTGTTTAAATTAATATAATCTGACAAAAAGTTAATAGTCAGGAGACTAGATGGTGTAAAAGTTTTCGTATAGTAAAATATTATCCTTAATTTTTTTATACTTATTTATACCATAAACATGGATTCTCTATAAAACTTTATGTTATAAATAGGAAATGATTTGAATTTTAAATGTTTGCAAAGTAAGTTGAAATAATTTCCTGCTGTATATATTAAGCCACGCTATTTCATTTAATTTGTGTGATATTCTCGACTTACGTCTGATTCCAAATATAAAACCCTTGTGAGAATTTGGTAATTTGTTATTTTTTGCTTTAAATACATGTTATAAAAGTCCTTAGAATATTTTCAACAAATTGAAAATAATTAATTATAGGGATTTTGAAGATTTTATATATGTATATTCTTTTTTTAATAAAATAATTAAATTGTTCAAGACAATCAGATATCGAACGATTCTATAAATCATTGGGTTACAAATGACTATTTCTCTATATTATTATTATTCTTATAATGATTTGTGATAAATCTTGTATCACTTCACTACTTCTTAGAAGATAAAGTGGAAATGTCTAAGTAACATTTTTGAAAATAAAAAATATCCCGTGTAAAGCACAACAGAATTAAAGAAAATGATATGTAAGTATTAACTTAAAGGAAAACGACCTAGTACCTTTAATATAGGTATGTGATGATGGTCAGATGATGAAAATGGGCGGAATAAATGACGGAATGATGACGGAAATTTTTGAACAATGATTATTTAACTCTGTATAGCGGGATTTAATAAATTAATAAATATAAGATTAATAGTGGCAAATATTAATTCAATTCTACAATCATCAGTATAATGTTTTACTCACCTCAGGTGTTACAAAATAACTAGGACTTTTTTCAATTGTAATTTGCCCCGGATAAGAATGAGGCATTTGCATCCTATACCATTCTAAGCCTTTGTTATAATTCTCGTCTCTATCAAAGAAGTGGACTTCTCCAGCAGCTTTTTGCACCATTGGATGAAGGTATAACATTTCGAGTAGTGCCCTAGTACCACACTTTCTAACTCCCATAATTATTGCCTAAAGAGAATAAAATCTAGTAAAATTTATAGAATATATAATATACCATTTTTTTGTTCTAAAGGGTAATATAGGAATACCATACCATTACATGAATTAAATGATAAACATACGACAAGAATTTAATAAAAATTAACATAAAGCATCCTATATGTATAAAAAGTATAATAGTGACATGGCAACAAATTTTTAAAATTAAAACCGGTTCTCGAAACAAACAAGGACAAAAGTGCAAATTAGAATAATTTAAATTTTGCACAAATTCGGTTGTTTGAAATTTTACTATAACGGGACAATAGTGGAGTAGTTTATTTTTGAAGAATTATAGAGTCTTGATAGAAAAATCGTAAGGAAACGTTTTAGTGAAAAAATTACCTTTGTTTTTTTTTTGTTCGTCTATTTTGTCGAAATGAATCAGTCATAACATTGTTATTACAGGAAGATAAACATTTGTGGGAATCATACAATGAAATTTATAAATTTCTAACTGGCAACAGCACTGTAATTAGGAGCAAATAAGTATATACTATATCAATATTATACAGGGTGTAACTAAATAAGTGTAAAACATTTAAGGGGGTGATTCCTCATCGAAAAAAAGATAGGATCTTTCATAGAAAGAAACTTCATTGGAGCATCCCTTGTTAAGATACAGCCCCTTAAAGGGGGTACATAAAATTTGTTTAACAATTTTTTTCACAAGCACTAAACAAGTTACAATATTGAAATTAACCTGACATTTTCTACTACCAAAAAGACACTTAGCCAGTAATTTATTTGGTTTACCCCATGGTTGTAAGGGGTGGAAAACGCAACCCCTAAAATTTATTTCCAACGTAATTTTTTGTCTTATTATTTTTTTACCATTTAAAAAATTATTTCCGATAGCCTGTTTCATTCTAAAAAAAAATGTCTCTTGAATTTTTTGCCCAAATTAAACCAGTTCGCAGTAAAAAATTATTTTACGAACAACTACAGAGATACATCGTCATAAATGCGGACTGGATTTACTGTTATTT